AAGAAAAAGAAAAAGAAAAAGAAAAAGAAAAAGAAAAAGAAAAAGAAGAAGAAAAAGGTTAAAAAAAAAAAAAAAACCTGCCTGGCAGCCCTACAGGAAAGGATTTGTCAATATTTAAGTGAGGAATCACCATTGTCAGCGGCACACCATGAACAGAAAGATTCCAGATTGTGTGGAAAGACCAATGGGGCTGAGGTCTGCAGTGGAAATCTGTAGGGATTTGCTGCCTTGTTTCAGAAAGGTTAAGGTGGGCATGGTTTGAATCATTCCAACTTCAAGAAGTGATAAAGTGTGTATAATAATGACTTGCATTCATTAAACACATTTTATTCACAGCTTTCCCTGAGTACATGGTGCAGAGATTGTGATAAATTGTATGGCAGACTGATGTGCAAAGCTGATGCAATTACAGTCTCTGACATGTAGATAGGTAGCTTACTTTTCCCCTATGCAGGAACAGCATCTTATCGTTTAGGTGCACAGTCACTGTAGGTACCAGACCTATTCTCTGTACTCCCCTCACACCCACCATATACTGACAGTAGCTCAAGGCGAGCTACTCTGGTTGAAAGCTCAACCAGTAGGCTCTAGAAGAGGAATCCTGTTGATGCTCTGGGTTATTTGCACCAGCATAAACTGGTGTTAAGTTCTGAACCCTCTCAATCACTTGTGGCAACAATAATCAAAGGTGCTGAACACAGCCCTGGTGCAGCCACAGCACCTAATCCATACAGCCCCAGCAACAGGCACCAGGGTGCAGAAGGGCCTCTGCATGGCAGTGGTGTGCTGGGATGCTATCCCCAGCCCCTCCAGCAACTATCAAATCAAATTATCCCCTGATGAATCTGCCCCATATTCTGTTTGCGACAGCCTCCTCCAGCCCCGTTGCCAGACTCACTGTCTGTCTGCACAGCCATTAACAAATACCCAGAGCAAGCTGTTGCAACACTGGCTCTCTGTGAAGGTCCAAGGAGCAAACGTGGGCTGATCAGTAATAAATATTGATTTGTCTGTAAGTGAAACAGCGGCATTTATGGGATGGTGCTGGACACCCAAGTGGTGACCAAATTACCATGGGGTCAAATGCTTAGCAGAATGCTAATAAGCCATTTGTATGAGGGGCAGCAAAGCAGGAACAGCAAGGACTTCTGCAGAACTCTTCCATTTGGATCATTGTGAAGAGGGTCAAAGACAGGTCTATGCAATTTATAGCAGTTCAAGGCCCAGGTTTAGCCCTTTTTTAAACAGCCCCAAATGCTTTGGCCAGCCTCAGGGTTCAGCAAACAAGGCTCCTACAGAACATCAGCCTCCAGACTGTCTCAGAAATGCAGTAAATTGTGTGCATTTCCCTAATGCAGCAACAGAATAATATTTAATTCTTTTTATTCATAGGGTCTAAGAGGTCTGCAGATACCCATCTTGTTTCCAAAAAGAGCCATTAAGAGAAATGCTGTTCACAACAAATCTTTCCATCTCTACAAAGGCCGTTTGGCCCAGTGACTGCTATCCCATCTCATCTGGAGCTTGAAAACTATTGTTGCATTCATGGCATTTTGCTGGTCATTTTGCTCTCAGATGACATTACACTGTTGATCCAAACCCAGTATTTGTTAGTTTTTGGTGTTAAAGGGGAAACTAAAGCTGCCTTTTGCCTTTATGAGAGTAAGGACCCTAAAAACACTTACAGTGTCCAGATAAAAAAAGATAATAATAATCACAGATCAAAATAAAAACACTGAGTCTTTCATTTATACTTTGTCCAATAGAGCATGTGTTTAATAAAACATGCATATGTTTAATGCTCAGCTATTGGAAAGAGGACAGTAATTTTTTTCCAACTTTCCATAAAACACTGCCCTAAGAGTGGCACTATGTGCTTCCTATGGGAAACTGAGTGAAAGAGGGGCTTTTCTGCTCAAATCATGAGCATGAGCAATGTGAATCCTTACAAAGAAAGGGCTGAGAGCAACTGTAAGCAATGGTGAATCAATCTCATGGACTGTGGATTGGGCCTTAGGAGAAAACATTGCCAGCTTTACCTCTCAACTGAAAAGTGTGTGACAATATCCCCATGAGCCATATGCTTGAGATTTTGCTCCCTGGAGGTGTATCACTCTCATTCTGTGTTCTGGGAATAAAATTTCACAAAAGCACATCTGCAGGTTGTGACCAGATTTGCCAGGAGGATGCATACTTTTGAAAGGCAGTCTGACCTAAAAGGCACCCCAAGGCCTATTAATTGTTAATGCCATCAGAAATAAAGGACTACATTTTACCACTCTTCCTACAGCCCAGTTGCTCCATTTCAGTCTGCCCTTGTAGCTGCCTCAGCAGAGAATTTGCCACCCACAGTTCAACCCCTAAGCACTGCTTCTTTGACCTTTCAGATGTGGCTTTCAGTTTCACTGGATCCTCACTACTCATGAGAGAAGTTGAAATTTGAAGAAGAAAAGAAAAAGGGAAAAGGCAAGAAGAAATATCAGTATTCCTCTCTTTCCTTTGCAGTAATTTGCTCCCAGTTTATACTATTTCTCAGTTATTAGAACTAAAGAATAAACACAAGTTATTCTCCCAGAAGGAAGGGGATCAATTTCCTTTCTGCAGCACTCACACACTAGAATAATCTAGCCCAAAACTGCTTTGATCAACACATTAACATGCAGAGAAATCTAATCCCACAGCAGACCAGCAGACCATGGGCATTTTGACTTCTGTGAGGTCAGAATTTCAGTCACAAACACTTCCTGTCTGATATTTAGAGCTGCATCTCTATCTGACTCTGGCCTAGGTTTACATACAATTTTAACACCTTCGTAATAACAATTAGAAAAACAAAAGCAATGGCATAAACCTGTTAGGTCCTGCATCTTTCTCCTGGAAATAAAAAAAGTCCTGAAGAGAGAACATCTTTTATTTGACATGACCATAAATCATCTAATCAACCCTTTATCCCTCCATCTCACGAATGGAGAGAACTGACTCCAAAGAATATCTGCCAACTTTGTTTTCACCTTCAAATGTAATGTCATGGGGAGGACACAAAGGAGATGGTAAAGGGATTACCAGGACTGATCTCATGAAGGTATTAATGTCCTTTCATGCTGTTCCTAGAAAGGAAGAGGAAGATCCAGACCTAAAATATTTAAAGTCTGAAATCCTATTAAAACCACATCTATTATCTGAAGAGGCATTTATGTATGTCTCAGACTGAATGTGGGGCAGCCACCACCACTGTTCAAGGCAGTCTCAATTCCAGTAAAAATTAGGAGTGTGAGAGTTCAGAAAATCTTTCCTTATTTCCTCCAAACGCAGAATTACTTCTGACATTCCCAGGACTTCTTCCAGTAGTGAAAAGTTATTCCTGATCCCACTGAAGTGGGTGGCACAGCCTCCCTAACTTCAATACCAGGAGTGAGGGGGTCCCCAAGCACAAATAATGGAGAAGCAAACAGTGTTTGACACGCACATACCTGGGTGAAAGAGAGCAGGGGAAGGAGGGATTGCCACTGTTGGGAACTTCTCCTCTCCTCCTCTCACGTCTGCCCAGAGGTGCAATAGCCACATAGTGGAAGGGGCTTCAGAGCTCATGAGGCTGATGTTGAAAAGTAAATCCCAATGGGAGTGCACTAGCCCCCTGAGTATGCTACCATTTCATGCTAGGTTTTGCATGTAATTGGGCTCTTATCACCTCCACAACATCACAAGGTTTATACCAGGGTGATTCATAGATCCCAAAGATGTTCAGCAAGGGGGAAAGCAAGGTGGAAGTCTGTGCTTTGCTGTCACTTCTTGTTTTGTTATGTTGCCATTTGCCAGTGATCCTTTCTAAATAAGGATAATCTGAAAGGCTGCTGGACTTTGTAGGAAGCATCTATTGAATAAAGAATTTGTAAAGAGTCAGAAAATGAGCAAAAACTGATGAATCAGCATACTGCAATTAGGCTGTCTTTAAGAGACTGCATGTGACGTCAACAAAACCAGTGAAGACAGAGTACCAGTTCCTACAAGACCTAGTCAAAAACTTGGCCAAAAATAGAGCATGGTAATCTATATTGAAAAAATCTCTATGAAGAAGCTTACAATACAGACAAAGTAGACAGAAAGAGGGAGACACAATCATCAGGTCCAAGGTTAACACTTCTGCTGGAGGAAAAGGAAGTAATTTAAGTGTGTGACATGAATATTCCTTGTCAATATTGCCTTTGCCAGTGAATCCTTACCAGTGTCCTTCTTTTTTGTCCGTGAAAGCTCATGCACTGTTACTCCAATATCATTTCTTAAGGACCTGATGATCTTATCCAACGCTGGGACATTATTGCCTTCCAAGTTAATGAAGAATTCATACTCATCTTTATTGAGACGAGAAGGTCGAGATTCAATGTGAGTCAGATTTATGCCTTTTTCCTACGAGAAAAAAAGATTTTGGTCACATGGTGTCCAAAGGAAGGAATACAACAGAACGACTAGGTGTCAGTGAACTACCTATGCCATGTAGTACTAATGTAGTACTCTGCTCAAAAGCAGAGACTTGACTCTGATGGCCATTGGACTGCAGGCTTTAAAAATGGAGGGAATGAAAAGGGAATGAAAAGGGAAACTGAGAAGGATATAGGATTCACCCTTGTGCAGAGCAGCAGTATAAAAACCATTACCACATAAACCTTAGAAAAAGTGATCCAAGTTGCAAATAGGATTTGTACTGTAAAAGGTAACTCTAGTACCGCAAGCATATATTGGAATCTCACCTGTGTAAACAAGATCTTGTTCCCAGGATCAACATGGAAAAGAAAAGATTTTGTCCCTCTTAATAGAAGGTGAATGTTGTATTTATGTACGTTTTTAAAGGCGGTCATAAATGCAAGGATTGGGTTGTCCAGTGAGCTAAGCTTCTGCCCAGCCAACAGAGTCGTCTGCAAAGCCACCTCCACAGCTTCCAGGTCTGTGAGCAGATTTTGGGCAGAGATCCAATAGGAAATATGGATCTACACCAGAAAGGTAGCCCAGGGTTGAGTAAATAAAAACATGGTTGTTGTAAGATCATAGAATCACGAAAACAAAGAATTGCAGTCAATGAGAATGCATGGGAACTGTGGAAATAATCTAGTCCAAGCATTTGCTCAAGTAGACTTCACAAAAGCTGGTTGCTCAGGACTGTTTTCAGTTAGTTTTTGAGTATCTTCACAGATGATAGAAAATTTACAGTCTCTCCAAGCAAACTGCTCCAGCATCTGATACTCTCACAACAAAAACAAAATATTTGCTTTAGCGCAGAAAGTCAAAATCTGTCTCGACAAAGACCTTCACTTACAAACAGCAGCACCTCCTAGCTCTGAAGAAAGGGACTGTTTGCAACCATAGCTGTAACAACTATGACTACTTGGCATCTAACCTCTGCTGTCACCATGACAAGTAAAGTATAATAAAAGTAAAGCAATCAGTAGCTAAGATCATATTTTTTAGAAAAATCTTTTAAAAAACCTTTCTAACAGATTTTAATCAGTGCTGACCTTCCTTCAGGCTCCCATGACAGCCACAACCATGGTCTGGGTCAGTTTCTGTCTCTTGCAAGGAAAAGCGCTAATTAACCCTGTGAGAAAATTTTGGCCTGAAGAGTAAACCCAGAGGAGTCAGAGGAGCTGACGCACGGTGCTCAGCAGCCACACTGACATTGCTGTTTCGCTGCTTTCAGGCTCAAGTAGATCTCAGACTACATGGGGTGAAATGATGGCCTCACTAGTATCAGTATCAACCCCCTGCAGTGGGGTCAGGATTTCATCCATGAAGAAATGCTGCAAGGATCTATTTGTGACCTACAGGGAAGAAAGAGCAAAGATTTTTTTTCTCTACCTCCCTCTAGCTTGAGCTTCTCAAGCACTTTAAGGTTTTCTTTGCTGCTCTCAGTGCTTGCACAGTGCAGGGGGGCATCTGGCCATCAGCAGCAAAGGCCTCATTCACTCCACCACAAAAGGCAGTTTATTACTTTGTAGGAAACAGCATGCATGTCATTCCTCTGTTTTCTAAGTGTCACACGCTACAGATGAACTTAAATTGTTTGGCTAGATACCAATACAATAAGTTGAAAAGGTCAAAAGCTCATTCACCACCAACTGCCGCTCTAGAGAGATAGTGTCCTCATGGGGCTGTCTGCGGGCAGAGAATGGCTGTCACTGTGCTGGGCCCTGAGGACAATTTGTTTTAGGCCTCCAAAGCCCCATTTCATAAACAGACTGCACATTGTTCCCTCTGTGCAATGAGGCACTGGGCGGCAGATTGGCCGGGAGATGGAAATTCAAATAACTCCAAGCTGGAAAGCTTTTGACAGAGAGCAGGCACAGGGCCCTTTCACCACGACCACACCATGGAGATCAGTGCAGTAACGCGGGGCTGGCACCCCTTCGGCATAGCCACTCACAGGGGTGGAGAGAGTGTAAAACACATCTCTGTGCAAAGAGTGGGCCAAACACACTGAGGTGCTGCTTTACATTCACTTTGCATCACTTGGTGCATCAGGGCCTTATACCCTGTATCTGCGTAGTATCACAGGAGAAATGGGTCCAACTTCTTGCAGAGGTTGTAATAATATGAGTCTCTCTTCAGCAGCTGTTACCACCTACTTCTTTTCCCCACTCAGCATCCTTCTCCCAGGGGTAGCGTGGTTGTGTGAGATATTCCACAGGTTACCTCAAACTGCATGTTTTATTTTTGGCAAGGTAATTCACAGATTTGTAGGGGTTGGAAGGCACCTCTAGAGATCACCAAGACCAACCCCCCTGCCAAAGCAGGTTCCCTAAACCAGGTCTCACAGGTAAGCATCCAGGCAGGTCTTGAACATCTCCAGAGAAGGAGACTCCACAACACCTGTGGGCAGCCTGTTCCAGTGCTCCGTCACCCTCACCATAAAGAAGTTCTTGCGCACATTCGTGCGGAACTTCCTATGCTGCAGCTTATATCCGTTTCCCCTTGTCCTGTCTCCATGTCCCACTGAATTGAGCTGTACCAGTTCTCCAACTGTGCTCAGCAAGCAACTGCACAACCAGTAGTGCCTGAAAAATGGAGAGAATGTGCTGAGGTTGGGAATGAAGAAACAAGCCATGGGGCGGGCCCAAGTCAGTGGAAGTATTGGTGACTTCCAAAGTACCATGGAAAAAGAAGGAAAAAGAAGAGATTGGGAAAGAAGAGAAGAGAAGAGAAGAGAAGAGAAGAGAAGAGAAGAGAAGAGAAGAGAAGAGAAGAGAAGAGAAGAGAAGAGAAGAGAAGAGAAGAGAAGAGAAGAGAAGAGAAGAGAAGAGAAGAGAAGAGAAGAGAAGAGAAGAGAAGAGAAGAGAAGAGAAGAGAAGAGAAGAGAAGAGAAGAGAAGAGAAGAGAAGAGAAGAGAAGAGAAGAGAAGAGAAGAGAAGAGAAGAGAAGAGAAG